TATGAATGAATATTTGTAGTGTAGTGAACATGGCCGCTAAATTGTAATCATGGTCGATAAAATGAGACTTGTTCAAAATTGCTTTGCTTCAAACCTAAGCCGGCAACATCATCCCATGATAGGACTCAAATTCAAATATTCAAGAAAACTTACAGAAATGAAAAAAAAAAAAAAAAATGACGACGTTGAACTTGGTGACAGCCGAACCAACCAGACCGAGATCTCGATAGAACTGTTTGTTCCCGTTCTGACACGATATTTGTTAAGAAAATAATCGTGTGCGAACACCATTATTAAGAAACACTTACTGCAGAAATCAAAAAAACCCTGGAAATTACTGACTCGAGATGCTGAGTGATTCATGAAAGACATTTTTTAATTTGAATAACCAGTTCTCTACAGAAAAAAATATCTTAAAAGTCTCAAATTAAGCGCTCCATATTGAMGTTAAATGAGCGTTCATGTCCTTCAAGACCAACGAGAGGAAAAGGTCTTTGCTCGTATTATTTTTAACCTTACTTAATCAAGTTAGACTGACATTGTTTACAATTCAATCCGCGTCTTCTAGGAGCTTTTAAACAGATGATCATATTACTTTGTATTCTAGCAAATRAGATTTTAAACCTTAATATCTTAACTGAACGTAAAAAAAAAACCCTACTGATAATGTAATGTTGTATAACGCCCTTGTTCTGGGCTAAAGTTTGTGAATACGCACTATTTTTTTGATTTAAGAGAAAAGTTTTCAGTTTTCGTGAACATGTTTTTAAATGTAAAGACCTTGCTAACCGGTTTAAACTAAAAACGAAGTAAGCTTGGGTAATTAATTGAAAAAACGAATAAAGTCTACAGAATAATAGAGTTTATTAAGACTAGAAATGAGTTCATCACCTGCTAATCTGACGTTGTTTTGACATAAATTACAAGCGATGAACCCCTAAATAATATACCAAAGTAAACTATATATAAATTGGTATTTTTAACGAATGTCATATTATTGTAAAAGCAAAGAAACAAAGAAAAGAAAAATGTGAAACTTTTTCCCTTTTTTGACCAACGTTTTCTTCCCTTGGTGATTACTAGTTTGCTGACAGACATGAGAATGTTGAGAAGAGTAAAATTAAAATTGCAAGTGTTTTGAACATCTTTGACGACGTCCCAGGAATGCTATCTAAAATTGACAGACTCAGTGGGATATAAATATTTAAAACTGGATAACCGGCAAAGCRAGGGTAATAAGAATCTATCGAACTTCGAGGACGCATAGATTACTTGACAGGCGGTAACTTTATCTTAGAATTTAATTTCGTCATATTTGTGGGACCGGGGGGAGTGCGAGAAACGAGCGGAAGTYATTGAAATCGTAATTGTTTGGCTGGACTTAGGTCTTATATAAAGGCTCAAGGTTTCAAACAGTTCATTCAACCTAGTGTGAGTCTGGCGGTATCACTATCAACATTTCTTGCTGCTCTGTTTAATTTCTATTCTACCATGATCCAGCTACCAAAATTGAAGGTGTTAGCGTTATTAGTGTTGATAACTGTAGACCTAATCATATCGGCAAAAGCCCAAGAAGAACAAGAAAATGAAGAAGGTCTTTTTGATAGAACTGAAAGTTTTGACAACTTGGCTCTGGCTAAAAAAAGAGAAGCGTTTAGACCGCCTTGTTTTGGACTTTCTTGTACGAGACGAAGACGACGACGGCAATCTAAACGAGGGGTAGGTGGTAATGATTTTTTTCTAAAAAAAAGGAGAAAAAAATGTTTAGTTTAGTCGCCCGGATTAACGGTCTATTGTTTGAGTTACGATTTACGATTTCTATCTGAAATGAGCATCCGAAAAAAAAAAGTTAGCTATTATTGTTTGAATGTTAGAATTTGTCAAAAGAGTTTTGCGCAAACGAGACCCCACAAATTCAAAAGCCGGCTTCTGTCAGTTAGCAATTTAAAATTGAATCCTCATTGCACCTAGTCATAGAGAATTTAACCATTTATGACAAAGTTCTTCAAAGTCAGGCGTATAGCGCTTACGAGGAGCTGTTACTTTAAGGACGAGAAGACTGAATATTACATTCCAAGAATTAGCTTTTGGAGATCACTGAATTCTACCATGGATATGTTAAAGTTTCACGGAGTTAAGTGAAAGAGCGAAAGGAAGGTTAGGCGGCTCTCATAGGAAAAAAGGGAGAGACAGAAATAATTCGATGGGACAGCTGAAGTTTGAGGAGAATGAAAGGATTATATGATCAAGGGACGTTGAATGAAGCTGAGGGGAGGCCATCCTAATTAATGACGTCATCGAAAAGAGCCCATACATCAAAGATGTTCTCTTCGAAAATGAAAAATTACAAAAATAATGAAGACGAATTGTTTGAAAACATTCACCACTGAGAAAGRATGTCAAAACTAGAAATCATACGTAAATCTTAAATATCAAAGACCGACAATTTTAATTTCATTTAACTGGGTTTAATCAAAGTCATTCTTTTATCAAAATGAAAACAGCCCTTAGACCGATTTATTAAGATACCGCTTTAATGCCTTCAATTTTTTTATGACTGACGATGTTTTTATGGAACGAAAAAAAAACTCCGAATGTTGAATGAAGAATTACCTTTTTTTGTATTTAGACTTATGCATATGTTTACGAGTTGCCCCAAGAGCAAATGTTCATCGAGAAAACTTACTAGAAAACACATAACTGTATAATATGCTTTTCTAGATTATTTTGCTGCAATTAAATGACGGTCAGAGTAAAGAATTAATTTTCAATGTAAACCCAATAAGAATCAGATATGAATATATCTTAAATTACTATATGTGGATCTAATTATTATCAGCTTTGTATGGCTGTATGACAGGTTCACAACCAAGCTAAAAGTTATTAAGTTCTCGATCAAGGGAAATTATCTTTTTAAAATTTCATTATTTTTTCGGTCTGGCACACAAGATGAATATATTATTCTGTCAAGACTTTTCGTARCCTCAAATCATAACTCATGATCAACCACGCTTCCCCAGGACAAAGGGAAATCACTTATCAGTTAAGAACAGCTTATCAAACAATGTGTGCTCTTGAACGAAAAGACTTTCTCAAGGAAAAACAAGAGAACAAACAGTGCTTTTAACAAGTCTAAAAATTACCTGTCAAAAGCTGCTTTTGTTACGAAAGAAACGTTCTTCCCACAGGTAGAATAGAAAATTGATCTCAGAATAGACTGTAGAAGTTAAGTTTAAATTTGACATTAAGAGGAAGAAAAGAAGAGAAAAGATAAAACACCTGTTTTTTGTGTTTGTGGGCAGTTAAGAAAATTACTGCGCAAAAATACCAAAATACTTGAGTTTAAATATCAAAAGTTGATTACTAAAATAAGGAAAAAAAGAAAAAAATACGCACGTACTTCCCTTTCCAGATGGTTGTCTGGTTTTAATGGACAATACTTTAAGGATGTTTTTTTTWATTATCGGTTTTGACTTCCTTCCGTGCATCTAATGGACTAGCCGTTGTATTGTTTGCCACTGGATTAATAAGAGCAATTCTGTGAACACGTTTCTGCATGCGGAATAAACTAAAAGGCTATCCGCTTTTGAGATTTTCTAATTGCGGTCATAATATTACCGGAGCTAGRCTAAATGACCCATTCAAATAAAACGGCACTTGTAACTAGTGTTTATAGGTGCTCAACTACACGTGGAGATTACTCTAGTATTTCGCATCCTCTCCTTCAAACCATTCAATATATAACACATGTAATTATTGGTTTATATTTATTCTTATATAAAAACTATATATCTATTGTCAAAAAGATATATTTGTCAAAAAATTATCGATAAAGTACCATGACATGAAGCAATAGTATTGAACAAAACTCACAAAACAAGCAGTTTGCATTTCATCTAAGTTGTGCTTTYCTTCACCTTTCTTCAGAGTCCTGCCAAACGATCGCGAGTGATAATGGAAGACGACAACACGGTAGCAGAGCAAGAAAGCCAAGCTATGGACTAGGAATGGACGACAATACTACGTATTAAAAAAAGTAGACATCAAGAAAGATTTCGAAATATGAAAACTTCCACATTAAGAAATATTTATTTTACTTACAACTTCATTGCGAATGCTTAAATTTATTTAGATACGAATTAATGTAAAACGTTGAAATAAATACTCAGAAGTTATAAAGCGCTTTCAGTCAAAAGCACACTTGAAGCAGGTGAACAGTTCAGGCTTCAAGTTATAGATATTCATTTTTATTGATCTCGATGATTGCGTTAAACAACAATCTCTATCTATTGGCACAAGAAAACTTAAAKGATTGGAGTGTTTGCCGGAAAACACCGCTATGAATAAAAAGCAGGTCAAATGACGCGATTTAAGGCCAAAAATACACAGTAATTCTTTAACTGACTCACTTTGTAAGTTTTCGCTGTCAAATAACTGAAAATGCATTTAATGTTGATAAATAAATACACCACTAACACTCAGTCTTGGTTTGTTTTCTTTTATCTCAACATCCTTTCTCACTCCCACAATAGACCAGTTTCGAATTCCAAATTACCGCTGTGTTCCTTGATTACAGACTCATTTGCATAGGGTTAGCCTCGTATCAGTGTTTAAATAATCACAAATACCAACGGTAAAGTAAAGAATGCACAACTTCAACAATACAAACATTTTGAAACTCGACGGACCTTGAATGTAACACGTGAATATTCTGCACAAACTCGAGGCTAACCCTGTGCAAATGAGTCTGTAATCGAGAAACACAGCGGTAATTTGGAATTCGAAACKGGTCTATTGCCTAGCCTAACTAAATAATATACCATTGGATAACGTTAGGAAAAGATTAAAACTCTACGCTCTCACGGGGACTATGCATTAAGAGAGAATTCTTTTCGTATTCAAGCGGTGAGCGCCAAAAACTATTTTCTTGAAGAAAAGCTGTTGTACAGGGCTAAAATCTTGTTATTCAAAAAGTTTTAYTTGTTTGGAAGTGGAAATGACCGATGAAAGTGGAATCAAAGTGTTAACCCAAAGCAAAAATTTAAATCGAAAATGAGATTTAGGACCTCATTTGCTTATTTCCCATATATTTCCTATAAAAAAAAAAAAAAGCCTGACAAAGCTATATTCTAACACAAATGCAACAAAACATCTTTGTTGTTACAATATTAGCTTACGCAGTTGTAATT